ATGTGCTTCAGCCAGCCTGTACTATAAAGGAATGGAGACACCCCAGGCAATATTCACACAAGTAGTATTGGAACCAGCTGCTGCAGAGCCACCTTAGGAAAAAAAGGTTTCTCAATTTAATTGGGAAAACAGGAGGAAGCATAAATTTTACTGCCATTAATAACTTCAAGCAATCCCGATATGACTTTACCTCACCCTGATGGATGGACATGTGCTTTTTGTTAGGGTCTTTGCCACATCTGACCCTTATTGTTTGCTCACTTGATCAGGTAAGAAAATGTATGCTTCTTTATAGGATAAACGAGGCCTATTAAAGTCAGAAAAAAATTGCAGTAGCCTATAAGAAGCTCCGTTTTTCAACAGATGTGTGAAGCTCCATAATAAGTTCATTACAAAAAGGCCAAGTGAACTCATAAAGAGAGCACATCTACTTTAAGCCTTCTTAAAAGAAACTTTCATAAAAGGAATAGAGCATTAAAAACCCACAGCACTCTGTTAATTAGAGAGCAAAATACTACTTGGCTTTTTAAACAGCAGTCACCTTATAATCCAGCTTGGCTGCATACCATATCAAGCCTTGATTGTTAAGAAGCCAAACATACAACTATTTGGCAATTCTCTGATTGCTCATTAAACCCAACCTCTAAAGAATGGAAAAATATCAGAGGAATTTCACACAGAAATCTAGAATCATAGAACTTCCCAGGAAAGAGTCCGTCAATGAATCCAGTGAAGACAGGCTCTTCACTGAGGACTAAATATGACTGTCAGTGCTGCTCTCTGCTCTGGGTTCTCCAGCTTAAATGAACAAGACTGAGAAGCCTGACTTACTTTGGAGTTTCCACAGCCCGTGAATTTTTATCTAAAATTAGGTGGCTACTGCTTCTCATTGTGCTTATATGAAATCTTAGAACACCAAGAAATTCAGAATATCATGCCAGGATGCTCACATTAATAAGGCAGAGAAGCTGGGCACAATCTGTGACTGGCAAAACCATACTGTTGTTACCTGGGGCTGACCACACTGTATTTCAGAGTGCTGTATAACACACACTCATCTGCTTGGCTGAAACACAAATCCACAAAGCCAAAGTCCTTTCAGCCACTGTAACCTGTGCTGGAAAACACAACCCAGGATGTTCCTCACCGCCTAAAATCTGAGACTGACCACCTTGGCACTTTCACAGCTGTATGCACAACCCTTCTATACTCCATGTTCCCTTTGGGCCTGATTTGCAACCAATCCTGTTTTGTGACCCACCCACTTTTCAGCTCACCAGTATCTGTGTTCAATCTTCAATTTTTAAAAGCAGATAGTAACTGCAAGCAACAGAAGAGATACTTAAGTCTGGCTTCTAAGCATAATGGGGTTTTATTCTTTCAGTATGGCTTGCACTGGGGAGTGAATGAAAAGAAAATGGCGCTTCAAAACAATATGTTTTGAGTACATCTAAGAACTCTCCAGCAGCTCCAGGGGATGAACACATACCTAATCGAAAAGCTTATTTGTTCCCCACACAGAGTCAGACCTACTCCTTTTGCTGTAATCAGCAACACAGTTCCTTCCCACTCTAACAGCTTTTGCAACATTCCCTATGATTTGCATCCTTGGAGAGGGACACCTCACTGATGGGAGGGACCAGAAATGCCAGCACTGCCCAACATGCAGGGATGCTGCCAGGAGCTGCTTCTGAACCAGGCTCCACCATGAGCTTTTCAGGCTGCCTTAACCCCCACAGCAACATTCAGCTGGCTCTGCTGTACAAACTGCCTGCTGTTCTCATGGCAAATGGGGAACTATTTGTCTCACTTCACAAAGGCTAAGAAACAACTCAGAGGCAACATAAAATAGCATCCTTATTAAAAGACTATGCATCATAAGCTGTGCCTATATTTAAGAGAGCTGTACTAAAAAATTTGTATTCAATTTGACCTCTTAACTGAAAAACAGAATGGATTTGGTCCAAACAAAAAGTAAAGGGGTTTTATTTTTCCTTGAATGTTTTCTTCTGTTTGCTGCCAGGGCATTTACTTTAGAAGCCAATTACACATCCAGGGGAAGAATTATGAAAAAGGGTAACATTTCCCTTATGTCCAACAGTGGAAGAGCATTTCCAGGAACCAAGAAAACAGATTTGTATCCTGTTTTTAAGTTCAGGTCTATGTTTCCCTCTTTCCAAACTCTACCATATTTGGAGCAAGTCACTCCTGTGCTCCACTTCCCTTAATTCTGCCATGCAAAGCACAATGAGAGCACTCTAAGAATGAAGCAAACCTCAACAGAGCTGCTTTGGTCTCTATTTCCAAGGGGATGACTGGAAGACACTAAACCTGTGTTTTCCACATTTCAGGCAAACATCTAGTTTAAACCACTTGGTGAATTCACATGAATTATCACCTTAGGCAACTGAAGTCACACTTCACATATATTGGCACAGAAAGGAAAGATTGCTCTAAACATAATTTTAAAGTATTAAAACAAAGCCATAGTATAAAAAACATTCTCTGCAGGGCCCTGCTGATTCAACATTTAAAAGGTCTTCTTAAAGGATGGAAGTCACACAAAGAAACAAAATCTCTTTTCGTAGCTCAACCACCCTATGTATGGAAAAAGCTGAGTACAGCAGACTGTATCTTACAGGCCTCCACAGCTCTGCTCCAGCTTCAGATCTCAAGTCTGACACCAAACTTCCCTCAGCTGCATAAAGCTTTTTGAGAGTTACAGAATAACGAAAATCAGCTGTGGTTGATTAATTCGGGTGCCTACAGGGAGCAAAAGGAGCTTTGTCATATGCAATACTTGAGATTTGTGAAGAGAAGCAAGTGGTGCTGACTGGCACAGCTACATGGGGAAGCAGGCATTGGCACTATTAAAAAGAAAAGACCAATTAAAATGGAAACCAAGACTTATGCAGAATTTCTCATGTCCATGCTTTCAACAGCAGCCTCAAGACTCTGGAGTGTGATGGAAAGAAAGACAGTCCTCCATTACATCCATGGTATACTTATTCCTTTCCTGAGAGCTCAGTTGGAGCCACTTCATCCTCACTGCTTCAGCCTCTATGTCCATTTAGAGCCTTCCTGCTCCCAAGCAATTAAGTGTCCCTTGGGAAAATAGTACATCTTCCAGAACTGCAGACTGCATTCACCTCCATGCTCAGCCCTAAACCACTGTCAAACAAATCCTTTAATTCTTTGCAATCTCAGCTCTCCCCTTAAACACCTATTGCACTTTATTTGTGCCCATCTCAAACCCAGTGCTAAAGATTCACAGTCCCAGCATGCATAAATGCTAAATTTCAGGAGGTTGAGTCAGCACACTTGACCTCTGGCATTAAGAGTTGTACAAGGACTTGTCAACAGCTGTTGTGCTGTGTTAGCACTTGGAGATGACCTGCAAATGTAAAAGGAAGGGTTCTGGCTTTAACAATGTGTGTTTAACACCCAAATAACCTGTATAAATGGGGCATCTGGCACATGGCTGTTTTAATATTCAGATTGCAGACCTCTCTCAGACAGGATATGGCAAGTGATATATTTGAGAATTATTTGAATCATCATACCAAGAAAAGTCTCACAAAGCACAGTGACGGCTTAAAGAAGCAAGTAATATACAATATTTCTACCTAGATTTTTAGCAAGTCAGAAGTAAGTATCAAGCAATTCTACAGGGAGAAGCAAGAACAAACAGCACATGCCTCTATGAAAAATTAAAATTTAAAAAATAGAAAGAATGGTTGAATACATTCTAGATGAGAAAAGAAACACACTGAATATTCTGGAAGTACCAGCAGGACTTGCAGTAATTATCCTAACAGCCACTTGAGAACAAATTCCAATTTTAGCAACCAGTTCTTCTGAGCTAAACAGCCTTCACACAGGCCTAGTTACAACTCTAAGAGAATGGCATTTGAAAAGCAATTCTCCTCTCCACGTTACAAACAGACACTAGAAAGGAGATATTTAACTGGTGAGTTTAGTCTGACTCTAATATTAAATGGAGAATTTCCAAAGCACTCCAAGATTTCATGGTGTTCACTAAACAGTAATAAAGCTGTGTTGAGCTTGAAGTATATTTGTGAGGACACAAACAACCCTAAGAGACTTCACAGCTAGAGGAGAAAGCTGAGATTCACCACTGCATTGCCCTTGCTCCTGGCAGGATCTGGATCCACCCTCTGCACTGCATTTAGCACATCCCAAAGCCAACAGGTTTCAGAAGACTTTAGCAATGTCTTGCACCAGTGATTCACACAGACAAGATCCTCTATTCCAACTCCATCTTTAGAGCCAAAGGCTGCTAAACCTTTAGTGTATCTACCACAGCAGCCTCTAGGTACTATCAGGCAAAGAACACACAAAAAGCAATAGAAGTCCCTCCTCAGAACTCCAGGATACAGCAGCGATCAAACAGAACAATCCTCTGCTCTTCCCAAAGACCTTATTGTTTCTATGGCTTTGCCCTAGAGATAACAAAAAATTTCACTTGTAACTGATGTACTTATATGATTTTAACACAAGACTATCAAGCTTAAAAGTCTAGAAATCAGTACTGCCTAGATTGTAAACTAACAAAATTGGGAGATTTCTGATCTGTCTGGACAAGTTACAAGAGCAAACAGGTATACCAAGCTTCACTAAAAATAAATAAATATTTATATATTTAGTTTGTAACTACATCAGCTAGGCTCTGTGAAGTTGCTGGCTGTTTTTCCTAGGTGCTCCCTCAGAATTACAAACATCATTCATGTGTCAGCTCACATGGCTTTCAGGTACCCACTGAAGTAAATTTTAAAGACTGGAAGATTTATTCTACAGTTTAAAAGATCCTAGAAGTAAATCTACTGGAAACCTGTGTGTGACAAGATGATGTGAATGCTGAGAAGCTGGGAGTAGTGAGGAAGTAGCAAAGACAAAAGTGACACAGCAACTTTCAGGTACATCATACCATGATGCAAACAACTTCACTGAAGTGTCTGTTAGACCAAAAGAAGACATACCCAGGAGTGCAGTGAGTTTGGGAAGCAAACCAACATGGACCATTTTACTTCTCAGGCCTGTGTCAAAGGAGAGATTCAGTAAGAGTCGAAGAGTGATATTCAGCAGGTCTTCATGTTCACATGGTACCATTTTCACAAGTTTTTCAACAATATCCATTTCAACCTGTATTTCAAGGAAAAAACCAAAACCATAACCCATCCAAACTTACTCTGGCTTCAATATCTAATTTGTAGCCATAACAGTGACTGTTAATGCAGTTTCATCTGAAGTAGTTTAATTTATGCCTTTATGGTTGAAGTCTTCTAGATTGGCTTACAGGGAAACATTTATTAAAAAAGGTTTTGAACCAACAAGTTCATGTGTCATGGAAACATTCCTCACAGTTGGAATACTGCAGGAATGTTGGAATACTGCATCACCTGCAAAACTAGAGTAGGGTGAGCAAACTCATTTAAATTTTAACACATGCAATCCTGCAGCAACTGCCAGTAGAGTCAAAGATAGACCCAACCAAGAAAGACAGAAAATTGGCATCCAAAAAGAATTTGAGACCTTTCATTATGAATTTTAAACAAACCCCTAGCCAGAAGTGTGCATGTGCTCTCAGAAGAGGCATGCCATCCTACATATCAATTCAATAAAAGCATGAAAGTCATCTTGAAACATGAATCACTTTCAAATTAAAAAGTGGAATCCAGAAACTGAGAAGTGGTATCAGCTCCTGAGATCATGTTCACTTTACCAGCCAGAAAACACATCTGAACTGGCAAGACTACAGAAAGTTTTTATCATGTTTTAAGCAACATTTCTGTGCTTTTATTTGACACAATCTTTTAAATGCATTCATCTTTTTGTTTCGCAGATCCTTCTTTGGCCAGAAGGAGGCACATAAAATTACTTGGCATTCTTCAGACTTCTTTCTCCATGTACATTACTAGTCTGGTTATAAATAGACTCTGAATGAATACTAAGAAAAGAAACTACAGCTCTCCCCACACAGCACAGTGCAATAATCAAACTACTTCCTAGACAGCTTTGATCAGAAACAATCAGATAGCAAGAACTCCTACCTCACTGCTTTGAATTTCATATGGCCCTAGAATAGCCAAGGAAAGAATGTGCTATAAATACATATGGATTTTTCAGTTGTACTTAGAATCAGGTGCTGCACAACTAATCTTGGTTCATTTTGCCTTTGACAGTTTTGTATTACTGCCCAATGCAAATATCAGAACAACATTTCCTTCAGTGGTAGTTTTCCTTAATAACATCATCTTTATTATCAGTAAGGAATGCTCAGACAGCTGACCTGAAGCACACCAACATTTTCAAAACCATCAGAACACTCTGAGATAAAATAGTTTCAACAGCTTTGCTTCACTTGTCTTTCACAAAATCAGATGGAATGGGAAAAGTGTGCCAGCAAATCAGTGGGCTGGAGAGCTAATTCTTCTTTTGCTAACAAGTCCAGTATATAAATAAGGCAGGTACTTCTTGTCTGCAGTGTTCAGTGCACATGCATGCAAAGATCCAGTTAATTCACTACTGCTTTTACACAGATCTTTTCATCTCACAATCTCTGTACACCACTGATCTCAGATTACCTCTTAAACAGAGAAAATGCATAATTTTCAACCAATAAATTATAATAGAGGCACAAAGGGAAGTCAAGCATCTATTTAAGTATCAGCAAAGGAGGTACTTGGCTAGAGTGTGAAGTCACAAAACAAATTATGCTACAATTTCAGAAGTGTAAGACTTCACAAAGAAAAAAAAGCTAATGCTGAATAACTGCCTCCAATTCTAAGGAGCTATTGGCAGTAGGAAGGAACCAGACTGACAGAGGAAATAAGTAAACTAGTCCAGCAAACTCCAGAAGAATAAATATCTCTCTTCCCAAGTCAATACATGGCAGAAACAATATGTTGTCACAAGAGTACAGTCTGGGGCCAGAGTCATGGGCATCACCACAACTGGGGGTATGACAAGACTTTGAGGTGCTGAATTCAAAATCTGGAATTTTGTGGATCATATTTTACGTAATTTTATTTATTTGGGATGACATTCCCTCAAAACTGTTTGCAGTAGGTTATGACTGGATGTTATGCTTTTTTTCCACTCATTTGACTTGTAACAAAATAGGATAATCAGTGCTAGAGATACCCAGTGTGAAAACAGAGATGTTTCCTTCTTCCCTCCAACGACACAAAATTTTCAGAACCCCAACCTTTCCATCATTGCAGTAGAGTGCTACAAGCCTCACCATATCATTTTTGTTCTCCATGAAGATGCTGAGTTTCTTCAGGAAGGTTACAACAAGGATAAGCAGCTCAAAATTATCCCGGTCCAGTGCTTTCACCAACATGTGGACAATGTTCTTGTTCCTCATCTTCAGCTCAATGCGAGTATCCTCAGCGAGGTTTAGGAGCAGATAAATTGCAACTAACAAAGATCAACACAAATCACACCAACAGATCATACCCAACCACTAAACAGGTCTCTATTTACACTTTTAAGTGCTGAAGACAAAACTTTCAGAAGCATAATGATCCCTTTGCAATGCATTTTGAAGGAAATTGCCAGTGAATGCTTTTTTTTTTTTGCCTCTTTAAAAAATATTAAGATTAATTCTAATCATAGCTCTAAAAAAAAATGATAACTAGAAGCTTTTTATGTTGTGTGGTTTGTATTTTTTTTAATTTCAATTCCAACAAGAACCAGTAAAAAGCCCCTCTCGGGAAAGGTTTGCCACTCAGATAATTTCAATCTAACACGAAGTGTATTTTAGTACAAAAACTGAGATAGAATGAAACCTACTCAAAGAGTCAGATACAAACTAAGTTAGGCAAATTCAAAAAAACCCAAATACGCAACTCCTCCCAAACCAATATCATAAGCAAAGAAGAGTGGATTACTTTTCTTCTGAGAACGGGCTTTTAAAATTATTAATAGTGTCAAACAATCTGATTAAGTACTTGTCTTCTCCCTATACTTTGGCAACACTCTTCTATACTCATCTACACATTCAGGACATTTAAGACATCCTGTTTATAACAAGAATCAAACAGGATCCCTCAGTCACATTTACTGACAACAAAATACTTTTCTATTTGGATTTGGTACCTCTAAGCAGCTGTTCCTGCTTGACAACCAGCCCTTTGTATTTCTTGTAAGTTTTCTCATAGTCCTTTTTTAGGGTTTGATTTTCAGGATCTTCATCAAGTGAATTAGAGAAGTTAAGGAGTTCAGAGAAAAGTGATACATGCTAGATGACAATTGTCCTCAAAAGTGTTCCTCAATCACCAGTGAAAAGCAAGAGATCTATGGAATAGCCAGTGTCAAGGCTTCCTCAGCACCAGCCTCCTACACCTGCAATCCAGGTTATGACTGTTCTCTCCTTCTAGGCTGGGATATTTTACACCCCAATAAGCAGCGCACATGTTGTAAGACACACTGCCGATAAAATATAACTTTTCTTTTTCTTGTACTACTTTAGTAGCTTCAGCTTAACCTCTTCCACATCCCAAAATCTTCACTCTTGGTCTTTCTCATATCTGCAATTATATTTTGCACTTTCTGCTTTACAGAAGGTGCTGTGTACTCATCTTGTGTAACCCAACAACACTCATCAAGACAAGTCAGAAGCCATTAGGCTATGCCAGAACATCAAAAGGATATCAGCTTTCTTCTTTTTAGCAAGCTCTTCCTGCCAAAGCTCATGTCTCTTCAGTTCATGGTCTATGATATTCATACACAGAGCTCCAATTTTGTAATGTGTGATTATCCCATGAAATTGAGAGAAACTACATTGAAGAAACAATACTTGTGAGGAATAAATGCCAACAACTCCGTATCTACTTTGACATCTATGGTAGCAATACTGCACCACATGAAATATTTAAAAAGGTATTTGTAGTGTGCCACATTAAAGCACTTTTCTATTGGAAAATTACTTCAAAACAAGAACAATACCTGAAAACAAGAATATTTTCTCAACTTGTAGAAAGACAAGAAATAATCTGTTGTTCCAGATCAAAATAAAAACACATTCCAATTTTCATGCATAAAGGAAAAGGTTTTCCCTTCAGCCCTGCTTTCCATACTGCAAACACTTCAGAGCACTCTCTCCTCACCAGAAATTTAACAGAGACCTAAAATCAAGGTAAATGCAATTTCTGCTTGAATTATTTCTAGGCAGGGTATGTAGAAACACTGGGATAGCTAAGTAAGAGCAAGTGCTCATTACAGTTTTGAACATTGTTTCTTCCCTGTAGGTGTGCAGATGGAAATTAGAGCTGGAAGCTCAGCCACCTTTCATTTCCAACACAAAACTATGAGTCAGAATCTTTACTGGCTTCTTCCTGGCTCTCTTACAAACTGCCTCAACATGAGAGCTCTTTTTGTTACAAGTGATAAAACTGAGGCACAAGCATGTTTTTGTCTGTTTTTCTTGTTTCAGTGAAGCACAGAGCAGAAAACAAATGAAAAGCCACTAAGCACTAAACCACTAAATTCTTTATGTTCCTAAATCCAGGGACTCTGCACTTACCTTGAAAAGCAGAAGAAAATGTAAATTATATTGGTAGCCAGTTCAATGCTTTGCTTCCAGTCTTCCCTCAGCACTCTAGCCAATGCACCCAGGGCAGTTTCTGAAGTGAAATAAGGTTTAGAGAAACATCAGTATTTTGTGTTCCTCCTTTTTAGTTTGTGAGCCTCAGCATTTGAATACACCTTATACACATGTATCAGTTTTCTAGTGAAACACTTTCACAGGTATCTCACCTTAACAGGCAACACTGCTCATGAGTTCTGTTTGGAGACAGTACCAGAGAGTATCCTAGGTGGTCACCCTGTCACAAACCCTAAGAGGCAACAAGATGGAAGGGAAGCACACCAAAGACCAAATTAATCTTAAAACTACCACTAACCTTCAGATCCTGTGGCCCCTGCCAGCTCTGTATTCCATACTACATTGTGTCCCCTGCCTAAAACACTACCGCTTTCACTTTCAAATCACCTTTAGACTCTGCCTGGACAGACAGTATTTCTCATCCATCTTTCCATTTATTTTCCCCCCTGAATCTACTTCATAATATTTAATAATTTGGTTTCTCCTTGTCTTGTTTAATTTCACTTTCCCAGTCACGTTCCCCTAGCTCATGTCTCTTCAGTACACCATGTTCCTTGATCAAAAAAGCAGCAACTGGGAACATGGAGCACTAAATATTTTCAACAACTCTTAGGGACAAGCCATTATTTCATGGCTCACCATTCCCATTCCATTTTCCATGGTGACACTGCAAGATGGGCATGTATTGAAGTCATCAATACATGAGGGTATAAGGACTCAGCAAGAGAGACAAAAAGGGCAAAGAAAGAAAATCACTAAATTAACTCATGTCAGCTTGCCTCTTCCAAGGCAAGTTTCCTGATCTACAATACACCAATACATCCCCATCTCCAGCAGTAATGCTGAAGTTAATTTAACATCAAAATAACCAGGATGAGAAAAAAATATATGAAGCCTCTAGAGGCCAGGAAGGTTTCAGTATCAGGCTCACCAAAGACCAGTCTAAGCAGCATCCTTTTGTAGAGAGATCCAACCCAGCTTTGATGGCCACCTTATTATATACAGAGAAATAGAGCCTAGCAAGCTAAAGAAAATCCCAAATTAAAGGTGAATTACTTTTCCCTGGACACAAATGAACAACACATCAAGAGAAATTACCATTAGGTTTTAAAGTTACCATTTATAAGCAGCTCTTCCAAATTGTCAGGATTCCTGGCCAGCTGCAGGATGAGGGCAGAGCCACGCACTTTGTCAGGAATGTCCTCATAGAGTAACTCAATGTACTCATCCATGTCATTGATATTGGCAACTTCATCAATCTGAAAGCAGTCAGAAGCAAGGGTTTCACTGAGAGACATGGCAATTCAACATCAGCAATCACAATGTTATTCAGTTGTGACACCAAAGGGCACTCAGCTTCTGAGTACAGGCCTTAGTTAAAAAAAAAAATACAAGTTAAAAAACTCCAGTACCTGCAGAATCACTGCCAATGAAGATCAGAAAATCTGATTCCTAAAAATCAAAGGATGCTCAGACACAACTCTGTGTCCTGTATGATGTTCCAAATCTCACTGGCTGTCCTGCTGTGTGCTATACTTGGAGGGGCAAGTATGCAAGTCAAATATTTTACCCTTTATGGAGATAATTTTTTTCCATTGTGCAGTATTTCCAAACCAAGTTCTTTGTTTAAAAAAGAAGAAGCAAAAAACCACAAGAATTAAGCATTTCCTCTCCCCTCCTCACTTTTGTAACTGCTTACTGAAGTAGTAAACAGGGTTTGCATTTCTCTTTTAACACCAATATTTACCTCTGTTCCTTCAAATGGGGGTGGATCTTTTGGTTTGCTGGTTTTCTCTTTCTTTTCTACAAAGAAAAAGACATGGGTGCAGTTAAGTTACACACAAACACAGGCCAAACGCATATCCAGTGCTCTCACAATGAACACTCTAAGTTAAATGAAGGTCAAAGTCCTTTTGTGTCCAGCTGACCTGCCAGACTAACACAGGTTTCTGAACCTGAACAGTCCCTAGGGAGTAAAACAAATCCCCAGCTTCCTTTTGAGAACTCAGTCTAAATGATCAGTGATAGCCCTATCAGCTGGGGAGATAGAGGGTAATAAACCTTAGAGCAAGCTCAGAGTGGCAACACTCACTCCCACACTGAGAAACAGCATCAGCTCCGATTCTGCCTGTGCCCTGTGACACACCAAGATACAGAAATGCAGAGTGCAAATGGGTAAAACATGCAAAGCTCTTACAATCAAAGCCCATATATAACATAAATCCTCCCTTTAAATTTGACTCACTAGGAATCCAGCTTGGGAACAAAGCTTACCATTTCATGGTTGCAAGAAACCTGGGTAACCTAAAGATAATGTAGAATCTAATGTTAAATATTCAACTGACCCCTGAGCAGAAAGTTTAAGGTGATCTTAAGACATAAATAGGAGCACAAAGAGACCAGGAATTTTAGATGACAAGATGAGAGAAACACTCTAGGCTGTCTGCTACACTGGACCAAAGCTTGTCAGGCTCTGAAACTCTCCAGCTTTACACATAGCCCAAATTCAGCCTAGGCACACTCTGTACCCTTGCAAGAGGTGATGGCAGAGGTCTTTCTAGGAAGATCCTCTTAAAGACTTTTGATATCACTGTAAGTGCATATTCAATATGATGAGGCTGCACCCAACAGCCAAATCTGTACCTCTCAAGTCCTGCTAAAGCACAAGGCAGCCACTAAGAAGCATCAATATTAAATGTAATCAATCTAATAAAATAAATTTGGTTATTAAAAAGGTAATTCCCTTCAATCTCACTTCAAGATCATAATTGTTTCCAAAGGTTATAAAAGATACTTGTCCCCTGCTGTCACCATCCCCGAGAATTGGTACGTCAGGCACATTGGGCTCTCAGCTAGAAACACCTCAGTATTTGTTCAAGGCTGAGGCACTCCTGTCCCAAGCTACTTTGTTCCTGTATTTTTTACCTTTTCCTGCTGAGGAATCTCTGCGGTTCTGCAGGTAGTACAGCAGCTGCTCTACTTCTGCAAGCTTGGAGGGGTGAATGAGCTTGCATTCTTCAACCACCTTTCGAGCCAGGGAACCAACATCTGTATTTGCATTAAGACTCTTCAGCCGAATTCTGCAACACAGACAAGTCTCTTTTCAGTTTTTAAATTTTTTTATCTTCAGTCCTTTGATTATGTTTATACAGTCAAGAATTTCTCAAACCAGAAATGATCCTGATACACCCAGTGCCTGTGCCTTTCATGTCAAAGTGGTGCCTCTGAACTCCAAAGGGCAAGCAACTGTCAAACAGATTTGGTGGAGCGTAACTGTTCATGAACTGACATGCAGCAACATTAAAGGCAGCTGTATGAACAGATCCCTTACAACAATCTTAGATACAAAGGACAGTAACTGATTTGCTATATACCCCAAAAAATGTGCACAAGACCACAAAGGAGTATTGCAGACAAAAAAAGTCCCAAATGAGAGACAGCTCTGAGTGTTTGTCTGCACAGGAAGGTTCTTTTGCAGTGCCAGGAGTCCACCCACAGCTCTGGCAGGTCTGCAGCCAGGTCCACAAGCAATGAGGAGGAAGAAATCTCTGTGGGCATTAACAACAGGGTGGAAAAAAAAAGGAATTCCACCATCTTGCAGATGCAAGTTATGTTGATTCATCTGATAACAGAAGTATGCTTCTGATAGCTTCAAAAATTTGAGACAATTTAAGGATTCTCTTTTCTTTTTCCCCCAGTTATTCTTCTAATATGCACTCACACAGGCAGCCACTTCAGTTCAAATTTCAGTACAGAGATAAAACTCCCCTAAAATATGTCCAGCCTTGCAGGTTAAAAAATGCAGTTATGATAGTTCTCTGGGCTTTTCCAGTGGGGAATATTTTAATGGCCTTGAAAGAAATCAATCAGGCAAAAGTGAAATGCAGATAAAGTAGTGAATTCACTGGTTGGGCAGGGGCAGATCAAAACAACAGGAGAGCCAACAGCTGGAGCATAAGGCTGTCAGGAGGTTCAATGGTACTTCTTGCTCCAACATGAACTATCATTTGCACAGGAAACAATCACTTTTCTCTGCCTCAACTACCCATCATGTAAAACAGGAGTCATCACTTTTCTTTACAAAACACCTTAAAGGACATGGCTGGAAAGCAATTTGCAACGTGTGTTTCAGATGTTAACCTTCCTAGGCACATGTTATTTCCTGCTTTGAAACCCTCTGCTAGTCCAGCACCGAGTTGCATAAAGATGATAAGCTACAATTTCTCAGAGGTAGGTGGTACTCTTGAGTTATTAAATCTGTGACTATGAAGATTGAAATAAAATATTAGAGCTTGCTGTGACCTTACATTTTCTGACATTCCTTGCGTTCCCCCAGCATGGGGTCTCCCAACTCTCCCAGAATCGTTGCTTCCACTTCATAATGGACAATGAGGGCTTTTTCAGATGGATGCACATCTATGTTACCTCCTTTTACCTTCCTGTTCATAAAGGAAAAAAAAAAACCTGATTAAATTAAAAGCTCAGAAAACACACCAGAGGAGAAATCAGTTACCCGCCTACTGTGCTATGCAGGCCCTAAATCCAAGTAATGCTCTCCTTCCATACCATACTCCAACCCACACTGCTGTACCAAAGCCTGGTGCTAGTGGCATCTTCTTGGCTACTACCTGTAGTACACAAATATCCAAGCCCTGGTCAAGCCTTACCCACAGAAATCAGGAAAGAAATCAACGATATCCTGTTCCACATCACCACAATGAGTAAAAATATGCATTTCACCAAGCAGGTGAATTTCCCAGTTGATTCCCTATTACCTTGTCAGTACTGACAAATCTTTGTCTAATGGCCTTCACTTAATGCAGTCCTCTACAAATGGAATTTTTCTTTCATTCCCTTGCCTAACTCCTAGTAGTTGCAATTCTTTGAGACAGAATTACAAACAATTTGTATTTCAATTTAATGATTCTCTATTGAAACACAAACCTCTTTGCTACAGTTCTTCACCTCATTGTGCCTGCTGCCAGGCTTGAGGGATTACAAAAATCAACAGCTGCCATCAAAAGATATAAATCATGTCTACTTGCTTTTCTACAGCTACAGATCCTTGGGAGAAGTATTCTCCAGGGAAGCACTCTGGTGTATGTCAGTGCCAAAAGGGCCTATCCTGCTCTCTCCTCCTTTGTGCCAATAATTCTGTTTCCATGCAGATCCAAGGCTCCCAAGGAAAGGCTCAGATGGGTGAAGATACAACTCATTTGTTTTCAAGCAGTGGCAGAACCACATCCAAAGAATACAGTGACCTGTTTTTATTTATTGGTAAAGATGACACTTGTTCCTTTTCCACTAAGTACAGGTAATTGAATTTGTACAATCCTGCCATAAACCCGGCTGCAAAAACCCTGCAAATTAAAACCACCTCCAAAATGTGGGTTTGGCTTTTGGGGCGTGGAGTGGGTTTTTTGTGGGGTGTTCAGGTTTTTAGACAGATCGTGTCCAGAAAGAGAATTACAAGTGGCTTCACCAGCAGTCATATCAGCATCTAGGAGATAGCAGGTAGCCAAGGTATTGGGTCAATTAGATCAGGGAAAACGACTTCAACCTCATAAAGCTGGAAATGTCAGCAAATCCAGATGCAGCCTGTGCTATAACCATTTGCAGCAGAAAATGTTTGAAATGTGTCTCCATCTACTCAGCTATTCTGGTGTCCACTTTTCCTTCTGCAGAGTACAGCTGCAAAACATACCTTTGTCTTGAGATACAGCTGCCCAAAAAACCCCACAAACCACAAAACTCTGCTGTGGGAAACAAAGAGTCCAGTTCAACTACCTTGCAAGGACATAAAGCTACTCAGGGCAAACAAAAATATCTCCCTAGTGCTGGAAAGTAACATTTTCCATGAAAGTAGAGCAAAACTCAGTTTTATGACTTGAGATTTTTTGAAAAGATTTGGGTTGTTCCCCTTTAACAGCACTTTGAAGCAGGTGTTTCATTACAGTTCGTTCTCTGTTCTCACAAGGTCCAGCCTTGCAGGACAGAAAACTTATGGCAAATCTACTTCAAAAGAATCCAGCTGTCACTCCCCACTTCCAAATATATTTATCCCACATTAACATCAGGAAATGCCAAGTGCAAACACTCAGGGCTCCTGACAGGCAAAGCTCTGGTTAGTGACAGCTTAGTAATATTTACAGATATAAAGAAAAAGATGGGTAGAGAACAGTTTGGTAAAGTTTTACAAGAATAAAGCTGAACTAACAGCTCATCATTGCCCAGAGGATTAGCTCTTCCCATGTTATCCCTGCTCCTGGCAGTCACCTTGGTGTTCAGCATGAGGACTCATCAGTCTCTGTCACAGTCAATTCCAGCAATCCAACAGAAAACTCTCCATGTTTTGGAGAGGAAGTTTTTCACTGTGTAACAGAACTAAAGTGCACTATAGAAAAGGAACAAAACATTTCTCATCAGGGAAAAGAAGGACTGAAACCTCCTCCTTTTGGCAACAGTAAACCACTGATGAGCTTAGCAATCAGGAGAGCTTTAGCTTAAGACTGCTTAAACAGTTTTAGGACTTCCCATATTTAATTTTTTCTTCCAGAGGGATAGATGGGTAAACTGAAGAACTTAGAGGTACAGAGATTTTCTGCCCTCTCACACTGACAAACACCCTCTCTGCCTGAGCTATTTCTGAGCTAATGAAGTCACAAATCAATAGACAGCCAAGCTCCCTCTCTGAAAATCCTACCTTGTGAAATGCTTGAGGACCTACACTAAAATGTACCCCCCAGACACTGAAGTTATTTTTCATTTGGAAAACACTGCGTTTGTATTGTCAGCATCACAAGGTAAATCTTCATTTACAGAAAAAAATCCCCTCCTCTCCCTCAAAGCTACAAACATATTTTTTACTGATTTTCTACACATCCTGAGTCTGCAAATCACGTCATAAAACATTTGAAACTGCTGATACTATAATGAGTAGAAGCAGCAATGCACTGGGGAGCTCTCATGCACATCAGCCTGTCCTTTCACTTCACTGCTTGCTTTGTCAACAAGAACCCAGTCAGTTCAAGGTTTAAAAGAGGAAGGCCTTTGCTACAGACAAAAGCTGCAAGCTGAGCTCACATAACCAAAGCTGGAGTGTTAATATCCTTTATTAACTAATTCCTTTAGAGGGAAAAAGCAAAAGCAAACTATCCTAATGAAAAGTGGCACAAACGGTGCACGTGGGTAAGGCTGAAAATCCAATAACAAATCCCAGCAAGTCAGACTTGGTGGGAAGGGAGTGCCTATGGAGGGTGACAAAGGGAGCAGGGGGCAGAGGAGTACCAGGCTTGCACACCAGCCTGGTCACGTTAAACAGCACAGCAGGGTTTGGGGTTTGTGCTCCCAAAAAAAAAGAGACAACTACACCTGTTTCAGGGATGACTACAAAACAAAGATTCCTACAATATTATGTAAGATGGCACAAACTGAACAGGTAAGGCTAAAAAAACAGGCACTGCTGTAAAGTTACAGCTGTTGATTTAATTAAGGGTGGCATGTGATTTTTACCCATCATGGCATTGCTATGACAGAATGGATGTTCAAAGAGTTTTTTTTTTTCCCTGCACTGCTTCCAACTATGGAGCTTAATATGTGGCATGTAAGCGGAGAAAAAACAAAACCTGGACAGCCTAAACAGGAAATTCTGCAAATACTAATACATGGAAAGGAAGTAAAAAACAACAGCAGGAACTCCGTAGGATTCAAGACATAATGGAAAAAAATCACCAGCACAATAGGATAAAGTGACGCTGTCCACACATGACACCTGAACAGAGGCCTAGATGACCTGGCATCTTTTGGGATTGATTCCTTTTTGCTCTGAAACAACTGACAGAGAGAGATCAAGAGCTGGCAGCTCAGGCCCTATTCTTTATGCTGACTGGTCTCACTGCCAAACAGACAGATAAGAGATACCATTCATTCATCACACCTGCAACACCAAACCCAGACCATACACTTTATACACCAGTTACCTCTGCCATTCATGTCACCTGTCCTGCCCAGTCTGCCATGCCATACTCTTAACATCTCCGAATCAGTCTCCCAGCTGCTCCATGAACCTGGCCTTACTGTCTCTTATCCCATCCCTGATCCCCAAAGCAGCCACCTGCCCCATCCCAGCACCTAATACACAATGATCCTCTCCACTCATCTCCTAATTGCACCTACTCTCTTCTCAACCTGCTGTCACTTCAGTGCCTGGTCCCAAACACACTATAAAATGTCACCATAGCCCTCCCCAGACCAGAGCACCCTCCAAACCCCACCTCTCTGCCTACCCTGCCTCTGTAACCTTCACTCATCCCTAACCCTCCCCGTCCTCAGCCAAATCTTCTGCCCAATAGACTGGGGTAGGCTGAGGGAGGACCACCTAAACAAATCTGTCTGCCATTCCCACACCCCTCATCCATCTTACCCAGCACACCACAGCCTCCAGGCAGCTTCCAAACCAGCCCTCCTCACTCGCAATACCTCCACCCACCTCATCATCACCCCTCCCAAAACACTCTCCATTGTCACCTCCCCAACCCTAATCTCCCATCCATCCCCAAGCCAGTCCTCACTGCACCCCAGCCTCACACTCCACCTCCCCACCCTCAGCCCCCCTGTCTTCCCCCACCCCTCCGCAAACACCTGTGTCTCGCACCCCACAACCTGACACACTCCATCCCTCGGGACAAGCTGCCGAGCCTCAACGGCTACGACCTCCCCCCCCACACACACCGCCGGCCCCAGGCCACCCAGCACGAACCGCCGTCCCTCGTGCCCATCCTGCCTCCCCGGTTACCTCTTGAGGTACCGGGCGTCCTCGCCCTGCATGGCGGCGGCGAGGGGCGTGAGGGGAGGGGGCGCGGCCCCGCGCGCGCGGCGCTCGTTACCAGGGAGCGCGCGAGCCCCGCCCCGCGCCGCGCCCCCGCCGCGCGCGCGCGCGCGCGCGCTCTGAGCACGCGCCGCCGCTCGGCCGCGCACGCGCGCCGCCCTCACCGCCGCGCCCTCCGCCGCCTTTTCCTCCCCGGCAGCGCCCCCTGCAGGCGCGGGGGAGGCGCTGCCCCGCCGGCCCCGCACGGGAAGGGACGGGCCGCTCCCGTTCGCTTGCGAGCGGGAGATGGATCGAAGAAGCCGTGGGGTTTTTTTTGTTTTGTTTTGTTTGTTTGTTTGTTGTTTTATTCCCAAATATGTACGCCAAAGTTAAGTTTCTAAACTTGAGAAAGCGCTTCTGGGCGTCGCTATGATCATCCGCAATTCAGGCTGGTAGAGACTTGGCTGAGAGTGAAAAGTGACCTGGCCTCACTACAGTAGAGGCAGGTGGGTTGGTGCCCTTTTACTTCGTCTTCTGTAGTTGTTTAATGGTTATTATTTTGAAATTGATATGCATCACTGCCACCTCCTACAAAATTATGAAATGGTCTCTCAATGAATCAGCGAGTTGTTTTTGGTGAGCGGTAGTTGCGGACGCTGCAAGCAGCAGGAGTGAGAGAGAATCTCAGAATGTTCAGTCACAGCTTGGCTGAGGTTGGACGGGACCTCCGGAGATGCTGGCCAAGCCCTCTGCCAAGGCAGGGTCACCCAGGGCAGCTGACGCGGGGATGCATCCAGCTGGCTTTGGGTTCTGCCTCCCGAGAGGGACAATCTGCAACCTTCCCTGGCAGCCCCCTCCATCACGCTCAGTGCAAAGAACTTCCTCGTGTTGAGGTGGAATTTCTTGTGTTCCCATTCACGGCTGTTGCACCCCATCCTGTCACTGGACAGCATCGAAAATGCTCTGGCACCATCATCTTGGCACCTGCCCTCGAGACATTTATATGGATTGATGAGTTCCCCTTTCTTCTCCAGACTAAGCTGTCCCAGCTCCCGCAGTCTCTCCTCATCCAGAGATGCTCCAGACCCTATGTGCAGGATTTACAGGAGGATTGAAAAAGGGCTCCTGTAGTGTCCTACCCCATTATAACCACCTGAGATGGTCACTGGTCTTCAGCACCAGCTCTTGGCTGGCTAAACCCAGACTAAAGGCAGCCTTGGTGTTTTGAAACATAATCTTCCTTTTGTGTCACTGACACACAGAGAGCATGGGGATGACACTGCTGTAGCTCCAGACTCTGGCAAAGTGGCTGCAAATCCAAAATCGGGTTAGGAATCATGTTAGAAAAGTTACATATTCAGCCAGCACCTGAATTTTCTGCCCCTTTATCATGTCTCCAAGCCACTCTAAAGAACAAGCAAAGAGTCATATCCAAGAGGTCTCAGAAAGGACCTTAATGGGCTGTAGTTTTTTGGAGTACTCTTTACTGCCCTGTAGCGTAGAACTGAAAATTCTGTCTACCCAGAGTCGTAGGGATAATGCAGAAATAAATAATAGACAACAAAGCTTTGGTTTTTATTGTGGCAAAATATTAAGCATAAATACTTAATGTCTACTGATCCCATTAAAGACTAAGAATTTTTATAGTTTCATAATCTTTAACAGAGTAGAATAAAATATTTTGTGGAATCCACACAGTGCCTACCTTTGTTTTAAAGAAAATGGAAAAAGAAAGTACCGTGTGAAATATGAAGTGCTGCCTTAGTGCAATGAATTTACAAAAGATTGCTAGAACATAACACCCTTGTTACTAGCCTCATTCTATTTTTATCACACTAATATTGTCATAAAGGAAAAAAAAAATCATACTACCTAATCAGAATGATAATTCTCCAGTGATCTCAGCAGCTCTCCTGATAAGCATAAGCCAAACATTAAACTCTGAAGCCATATAAATAGTCTGATATTTACTGAGCACTTTGTACCTGACAGTCTTCATTTATTTTGCTACAAATTTATCTGATTTATCTGCTCATATAAGCCTGTAAATGGAGTTTAGTTTTTAGACACCTATGGAAAATAAGCCAAAGATTACAAGATGAGAATGATACAGAAGAATGTGAGAGCTGAAAAAATACGAGTAAAGGAACGTTTATTCCAGTTAAGTATGCCACGATGTTTGGGCTAAAACTGGCTGTTTGTCAGGACCTGAAGGGACAGCAGAGCCTGGAGAGAGTCCAGGTGAAATATCTCAGCTTTTTAGGTATTGATCCACCAGCACTGCCAAGATCAGACAATTCTGTTGGGCAGTGACCACCAGGTGATGCTGGGTTTAGAAAACCTCATGGCATAAACACCAAAACCCACCTATTGCGTGGTGGATTCTTCTATAATTAGATTGTAGAGCACGTGCTGCCTGAGGTTTTGTTCTACAGCCTTGCCCTGAGCTTCTGATGTTGTTTTGCACAATTCCTTACGTCCCTGTCTTTATAGTGTGATGAGGTTTATGGGATGGGACTCTGGAGATCCCCTCACCTGCATGCTAGAAGTATATATGAGGAGGAAGAAAGAAAGGGTGGCATTTGAGGCAGAAGGGTGATCAAATTGCAAGCAGAAGCTGGAGTATACAAGAGTTTTGTGTTTGTTCTTTTGTTTGGGTGGTTTTGGGGTAGTTTGGCTTTTTTTTTTTGTAGAACACTTGTAAGAAATATGGTTGTGGAGTCAGCTTGAAGAAGAGATTTTTTCATAGTGAGGGAATATAAAAGAGGGTGTAAAAGAGCTTGGGAGCTGCAGAGAAGATCAGAACAGGAAGAGAATGGTGGAGAAAGTTGCATGAGGAGAAATTGGGCAAGAGGAGTGAAGCAGTTGGGTAAAAACCGAGGAAAGACAGAGGTGTGGAGTGTTCCCATATGGTATATGTATATATATTTATGGTAGAATAAGAACAGATGGAGTAATTAACAACACTCAAATGCAAAAACACCGAAATTTACATTTTTTGGTTGAGCTGCAGACATGTTATTAACAAGATGGACAGAATACACTCAGTGGCATTGGAGCAACACCCACCATATTGCCTCATGGTAAACTTGATTTTATTTCTTCTTGTTTTTTCTCTTAGTACTGAAAAGTACTGATACTAGCAGTGATTTTAAGTCAAAAAAAGTGTTTCCATTTTCTTCAATGAGCCTTTGGTATATTATAAGACTGCATGTTGAAAATGTTTCAAATGGTTTCTTTTACATCACTGTAAAAAAAATAATCAACGAAAATAGCCAACACTGTTTTTCTGTAGCAAATGGAATTGTTGAAATATAATAGACTGATGTCTTGTGCCTTGTGGAGTTGAGAAACCAAAGCAACCCTGAAATTTGTAATCTAGTCATCAAAGATTGCATCTTGCTCTCAGGAAAAAAATAATCCAGTGTTTTTGTAGGGAAAAATCATGAATACAGGACATTTGTCTAGACTTTGTAAAATGAACTGTACATAAAACTACTTAAGACTCTTTATTAGCTAAAATAAAGTGGAGCACTCTGAAAGGATGACTTCCAGGGAAACATGTGAGGTGACCAGGCTGTGGAGCTCCGTGGGGGATGGAGATGATGTTGTTCTGATGTGCTGGCACACAGTAAGGGACTGAGGAATGGAGGTAATAAACCCTGGGCTTAAAAGTTTATACTGGGAGGAGGAAGTGAGACAAGGCAAAGCAAAATCTGATACGCAAAGGGAAAGTCTGGCTTAACTCCTCTGGATGGAATTAATCTTGGAGCACAGATCAAGGTGATTCTTGAATGCCTTTTTGATCAGCAGTGACAGTGACATCTGCACAGAAGAAGGTCATTTTCAGTGTGACACATGATTGTGCTGGCAAATCCTGGGTGCTTTTGTTATTCTTGAATGTGAGACTTTACAAAAATGAGAGCAAGAGAATGAGATCCTCCATGAAGAGCTTGGTTTGTATTTAATAATATATTTAAAATACGAAATATTTTAAATGTATTAAAATTACATTTAAAATATATTAAATATATATTATATATACAAATGCATTTAAATAGCTATAATATATTTAAATAATAAAATTAATATATAGTATATATTAAATATGTAAAATATATATTTTTGTTTTATTTATTTTAATATTAATAATATTAAATATTTTATTTATTTTATTGAGTATTTGTTTTCATTTATTTTAATATTAATAATATTAAATATATTAAGTATATTAAATATTTAAACATTTATTTATAGATATTTAAATATATTATACATATATTTTAAATATATTATATTTATATAATATAATAACACTGAGCTAAGTAAATGTATCAAATTTCAACTCATTCAAACCAGAGAAGAAAATTACCTGGAGGTTTCTATTGTTTTGGGTGTTAAAAGAAACATCTAAAGATGTGAGAAGAAGCCAATCTCTCCATAGAGAGCTCACTGTCGAGCAGAGCATGCTGCTTTTCTCCTTTGGCCTATTGAGATCTGAATTGCTGCCTTCCATGGGATTGATCTCTGATGTCCTTGTAGCTGCTTCTGGAGCTGGGGTTGTGGTAAAGTGACCATCTACATGGACTTCCATGTGCCTGACTGGAGTCCAGGCCTTTAAGAGAGAATTTTGCTGTGAGGAAGGCAGAACAGCACGTTGTACATTGTCACAGAATCTTAGAATCATGCAGTTGGACAGACTTGTAAGACTGAGCCCAAGAATAAACCTAACACTGCCAAATCCACCACTAAAGCACATCCCTATGTGCCACACCTACCTGACAGTATGTTCTGTATATGGGTGTTCAGTGTTTGTGCTGCACAAGGATTTGCATTCTCCGTTTCTTCTCATTTGCTGGCAAACAGCCTGAAATGATTAAATACAGAAGTGTCCACACAAGAAGGAACAGATGGCCTCTCTCTGTCCGTGTTGTCTTGTGACCCCTAATGACAATGAGGGGGATTTCTTGTGCAAAATCCTGGTTTTGCTGAAATCAATGGGAGTTTACCACTCACCCCAGTGGGGACAGAATTTCACCTCTTAATGTTTATTAGATGCAGCAGGCAGAAAGCAGACTCGTATCTATAAAGGCTGTGACATTTTATGGTTC